GCCACACTAGATGCTGTTCCAAGTCCTCCATACAGAGCATGTTACCATGGTCTCTCGAGACTGAAGGATGCCTAATCTAATCTAAAATGTGTGTCTGTGTAAAGTGACTTTCCTAAAATATGTTTGAAAATAAAATTCATCTTCTAATTTTTGATGTTCACAATGAAGCAGAAGTCAAACATCTAAGTCTCGTTTCTGCATGCTTTTCATTTATAGTCCAGCAGTTCAGGAAAGAGACCTGAAAAGGATTTGGCTGCCATGAAAGACTCAAGAAAGCAAAGGGAGCTAGAAAAAGAGGTACACTGGTTTCACCACCTTTTTGTTTGGCTTGTTCAATGGGGATTGCAACTGATTTGAGAGAAGTGAAATATTTGACTTTTCCTTAAACATATGGCATGAGGCAGTACAGTGGGGTCTCGACTTACAAACTTAATCTGTATTGGAAGGCAGTTTGTAAGTCGAAAAGTTTGTAAGTCATATCAGCATTTCCCATAGGAATGCATTGAAAACCATTTAATCAGTTCCGGCTGTTTCTGGTTCTTAAGTCGAGCAGCAGTTTGTAACTCAAATCATTAGTTCCCATAGGAACTAATGCAAAGCCGGTTAATCCCTTCCTATCACTAGAGGCAGATTTTTTTTTCCTTTTAACCTAAGATGACTTAGGTTTAAAAAAACGAAAGAAAAGAGGGATGGAAGGAGGGAACAGACACCTTTTCAACAGAATACCTTGAAAAGCACCTTTTCAGCCAAGACAAAGCACCTTCTGGGAAAAACCAAGCACCTTTCAGACAACAGATCACCTTGAAAAGCACCTTTTCAATCAAGATAAGCCAATACAAGCACCTTTTTGGGGAAAGGGGGCAGCAAAGGAGGGAGGGAACACCTTTTAAAAATCCAAAAATCCAAAATTTTTAAAAAGCCAAAATATAAAAATACAGTCCATACAGCACTGTACTGTACCAGGCAATACCAGATAGTACCACGCAGTCTGAAGACTGTCTCCAAATCCACTATCAGAATGCTGGGAAGAGTGAGGAAGCAGACAGGCACCCTCTTCACTGGCCAACGCTTAACTGAAAGTTCAAATTTCGCACTTTCCCCACCTCCCGCACATTTTTTTTGTTTGTAACTCGAATCTAAGTTTGCAAGTCGAGTCAATATTTTTCTATCAGAGTAAGTCGAAATGTTTGTAACTAGGGTCATTTGTAAGTCGAGGGTTGACTGTATGAGTAATTTAGAGCACTGGTTCTTAACCTTGGGTTACTCAGGAGTTTTGGACTGCAACTCCCAGAAGCCTTCACCACCATCTGTACTGGCTGGGGTTTCTGGGGGTTGCAGGTCAAAAACATCCGAGTAACAAAGGTTAAGAACCACTGATTTAGAGTGTAGCATGTTTTGCCAGGGTCTTTCACCGTCAGTACAGACTTTCCAATGGAGCTTAAAATAAGTTAAGTGACCAAACCAGCATGAAAGGGATCTTGCTCAGCAGTTTGTGAGAACCTGAAAAAAGAAGTCTATGGCTCTTCTGCATACTAAGCCAATGAAATCATTAACGTGTCAGTTGCCAAAGTGTTTTAATGTGTTTCTTTGTTTTTACTTGTTTTTCCTAAGCTATAGAAAAGGCAATGTACACATAATAAGAATAAATGGTTTCTACAACTGAAGAGGAAGTATATAGTACACTATGTCACTAACAAGAATATATTGTTTGTACACACAACTCACAGCAGAATGTTTAGGGGAGCCTGCCTTCTGTTGCCATTCTCAGTTTACAGTACCATTCATATTTTTGTAGATTCGAGTACTAATTGGAGAACGAAACCAGAAGGACAAAAGGCTGCAGGCTTTGGAGGACGATCTTGCCAAATCTGAATCGAAACTCTGTGCTTTGTTGAGGGAGAAAAACTCTCTTTTGGCAAATGTTGCTTCATTGGAAAAACATCTTCTGGAACTGAGGAGAAGCAATGAATTGCTGAAAACAAAGGTACATATAATTAATGTTTAAATGCTTCTTGTAGCGTTTAGCTGTTTTCAGAGGCATCTTAACTGCTTGGCTTATCTCGGCCATTCATAAGTGTAAAGCTTTGTGTTTGGTGGAATCCATCCTGTTAAACATGAGGCCACGGTATCACTAGGCACAGTTTGTAATCTTCAGTTCATTAAATAATAATCATAAAATATATTTTCATTTCAAATATGAATGCCCTGTTAAACATGAGGCCACGGTATCACTAGGCACAGTTTGTAATCTTCAGTTCATTAAATAATCATAAGATATATTTTCATTTCAGATATGAATGTTTTACGTCTCTTTTCTCCAGTGTTTCTGCTGGCACTGCTCAATGTTATTATGTCTTAACCATATACATCCAAGTATTAGTCTAACTAGAGTAGGCCATTTAAATAAAGAAGATTTCAGCTAGTCAACAGTGATATAAATTCCCCTGCTTCAGCAGGCCTTGTTAGCGCAAACAGTTGGATCTAGGACTCATGTGGCATGCCTGTCCACCATGGCTTAAGATTGACACTGTCAAGTAGGGTGCATGTTGTCACAAACATGTCTTAGACTTAAGTGCTCACCCTAAATGTGAAGTTTGTATTTTGTCAACTCTGAACAGGGCAATTAACTTAGCTATTGAAATCCTGAACAAAGTGTCATCCTGATCAGCTTTGTAAGCACTCACACCAAGTACAGACTTCTGCAATAGTATAAAAGTATAAGGAGCATAAGTGGGCATCACACAGTTCCTGTTCCCCCCACGATATACAGTGGTGCCCCGCATAGCGACGATAATCCGTTCCGAAAAAATCGTCGCTATACAGATTCGTCGCTATGTGGAACAAAGTAGCCCATAGGAATGCATTAAAACATGTTTAATGCGTTCCTATGGGCAAAAAAACGCACCGTTCTGCGAAAATCCTCAGTGCGGCCGCCATTTTCACTGCCTGGTAAGCGAGGAATGGGCGCGAAAACACAGCGGGTGGCCATTTTATTTACCCGGTGGCCTTTTTGGAACTGCCGATCAGCTGTTTTAAAAACACTGCTATATGAAAATCGGTAAGCAAAAACGATCTATCGGTAAGCGAAACTCTTACCGATCATCGCAAAGCGATGTTTTACCATTTAAAACATCGCAATGTGATCGCAAAAATGATCTCAAAAAACACATAGCTATGCAGATTCGTCGTTAAATGAAGCACTCGTTATGCGGGGCACCACTGTATTATGTTCATACAAATGATGGTGCATGACTCAGCTGCTTTTCCAGCTTATCTATACTTTTTCCTGTAGTAATTCCATTAATATATATTCTATAGTTCCTTGTTTACTCTTGGCATTAAACACAAGCTTTTACTTATGATTTCTTGGGCACAAGTAGTTCTTTCCATCCAGCACAGAAAGGGCTGATTTAGCATGCAGTTTTGTTTGTTTGTTTGTTTGTTTGTTTGTTTTTAAGGCTGAAATTCAGCAGCGTAACTTATGCTTTCATGTAAGGCTTATGATGCCATCAGCTACAGAAATAAAATGTTTCTGATTCCTTCCTTGAGGCTCCGTGGAATCCCTTTCATTGTTTGGAAGCTGTGGGGAGTCTGAAGGATGGGAGGAAAAGTTTTTTAGTAACTTTTAGTAAATCACTGCCATGGGATGATTTTATTGGCCATGTTTTTAAGTAGTTGAAGACACAAATATACATGCATGTCTCTGCAGCCTTCAATAGTTTTTCCACAACAAAAGAGTCTCAAAGGAATCTTGGGTCCTTTGGGTGAGAAAATTGGAAATGCTTAATGTACGAACAACTGACACAGCCAACAATGTCATCAGCCTTTTGTGGTGTAAAACTCTACAACAGGGTTTCAGCTGGTGAACCATTTGTGCCATCAACTTACTGCAGATCTGATATTTTCAAAATTGTGAATCACTGAACGTGTTCAGTTTACTGCTCGTACGAGCAACTTTGAACAACAAAGTAAAACATTTCCTTTGCTCTTCCCAATAACCAAAACCAGGACATTTCCTTTGCAGTGCTTCTGTTTAATGGTTCAGAGGTAAAGATCTGTACAGTTGCCACCCTTATAGAGGCATCCTACTTTAAATGTTAACTTGAGGGACCTAACACCGAGGGAGGTCCAGAAGGAAAGAATGAGGAACCAGGCCTTCTCGGCAGTGGCCTCTCGCCTCTGGAACAACTTGCCTGTGGAAATCCGCCTGGCTCCCTCTCTGGGTGTCTTCACAAGCAAGGCCTCGCTATTTGGCAGGCTTTCCCTCCCACTGTATCTTAAATTCACATCTTACCATGGATTTATGATGCATGTTTATTGGTTTAACTGTTTTTAAATTTGTAATGCCGCCCAGAGTAGACCTTTGGTCTAGTTGAGCAAGGTAGAAAAATAAATAAATAAATAAATAAATAAATAAATAAATAAATAAATAAATAAATAAATAAATAGTGCAACAAATACATAGAAGATACTAAATATGAGCAGAAATCCTGTTGCACAGCTCTGCATATACAGTGATGAAGACACAATCAGTGGCAAATCACCATTGATTCATTTTGGGGTGCATGTGATTCAGTGTGACAAAGTCAGGTACAACCTGAAATTTCTAAAGGAGGTCTTTAATCAGCAGTGATTTGCTAGTGCTGCTGAAGTCATCACTGTTCTGAGCACAGGAGGATTTCAGCTATTACAAGCACCTTAATGGAATTTAATTTTTTTTCTGGGGAGAGGTTGTTTACAAGACTTGTGTATTAGGAGCAAGTCTTATTGGATACTGAAGGATTTAAACTAGAAGTAGACATGTGCAGAATTGCACTGTTACTCACCCATTGAAATCAATAGTAAGTGAAATAGTTATCTTTGCCTAGGTTATCCTAGGTTGTATGTTGTCTAAGTGGCTTCAGTGGATGATTTGGTCAGTTACAAATCATAAAGAAAAAAATCTCTTTCTCTTCTGCCCCAAATTTAAGTGTTTTGAAGAAGGAACACAGAAGAAAATGAACAATCTATGGACTGAAGTGATGAAGCTTAGGCACCAGCTGAATGCTAGGAAGGTGAGTTTATCTATTTGTTGCTTACAACCTTTGTATGTCACTTGATATGACAAGATTTCCAAAGAGTTCCCATTGAAGTGCAAGCAAAAACAATTGCTAAGACCCTTTAATAGTAATAAAGTAATGAATATGTAAAAGTATCCAACAATCAGTACCAAAACAGTGAAGATGATGAAGAATGACGGCAATTCTTAGGGAGAGAAATCTCAATACAAATACTGTGATTGCAGGGGTCAGCATTCTGTTGCAGAGCTTTGCAAGTTTCCAGCTGTGGCAGATGACTAATTAAAGACTTACTTCATTTGCAAGTTTCCAGCTGTGGCAGATGACTGCTAATTAAAGACTTACTTCTTTGTCAGGTTGCATGCAGTTTTGTTTCATTGTGTGCATCCTGAAATCAAGAAAGGAGCACTTTAACTAGCACAATGTGTCAGTGCCGTCATTCCTGCTATGTTGATGGGCCTCTGCAAGAGCATTCTGGCCAGGTCATCTTTGCCACTGTATCTAGATGACACATCCAGCTGAGCAGATGGCATGGACTGGTGCTGATGAATTAGAACTACTGTTTCATTTCCTATGAATCTCTTTGGCATAGGGTTTCAGGTTGCCAAGGCAGAAATTCAACAGAAACTGCGTAGGTTAGAGAAAGTTCACATTTAGTTTTTCTTAGACTTTCTTGGCCAATGAGGTTTGCTGAGCCAAAGCATATTCAATATTCAGTCTATAGTTTAGGTTTTGGTCATACATTTTGAGTGTATATGACATGACGGTCCAAATGGCATAAAGGGAGATATATAGATGTCTGCTAATATCCTGTATAACTCCTGTTTATGGGCTTTCAGATAGCCCTTGTTAAGCAGGGAAACATGGAAACAAAGCTGAACGCAGCCCAAGAAACTTTGGAGCATTCAAAAGAGAAAGCAGCACCACAGGAAGAACAGCTGTAAGTTAATGTATGCATTTTCACCTGATAACCTTGTAATAATGTTCCTGTAATGCAAAGTGATGGAAAGTATGGGGACCCGTTTTGTTATGTGGCAAACTGCTCTTATTTTCCAAGTCACCAAGTGAAGGACTACCTGGTACACGGAGTGCCTTTTGGATAGTCTACGGGGAAGCAATAAGACTTGCAGATGCTGTAATTGTGGAGTCGCTGATTAGTTACATGTTATATGATACCCTTTTTGCAAGTGTGGTGTGCCCAAGGTGAGCGCTTGTGCCACTGATTTATTCTTCACTGAAATAGGATTATTTTCATCAACATTATCAATAGACTCTCTGTACTTCTTTCTTTGGTTCAGTTAGAATCGAAACTAGAGATGGGGGTATAAGAATACGAATATCCCCCCACAGGTGGTGTTAACGATTCCAGCCCCATGGGGCCAGACTGTCCACTCACTGATCCGCTGTGGCTGCGGATGGTGCGATTCTACGAATTCGCTGTGGCTGCGGATGGTGCGATTCTACAAATTGCAGCGCATGATCCACTCGCCACTCCTGGAAGGAGGCTGGAGGACAAGCCTTGCTGCAAGATTGAAGAGTGTTGAGCGGATTGTGCCCTGTGGAGCCATTCGTAGAATCGCACTGTCTAAGTCCGCGACGGATCGGTAAGTGGACCCTGGTTAATGCGACCTGTGCAGGGAAACGGATCGGTAAGTGGACCCTGGTTAATGCCACCCGTGCAGGGAAATTCTTATACGAATGCCCCCATCTCTAATCGAAACCATGTACTTGGGATAGTACCGTCATAGAGCTCCTCAATTTTTTAAGCTGAGCCAAAGCCATCTGTTGTAAGATTCTGCTCTATAAGCAGTGGGATAGACAGAATGCCATTCATCAGTAGAATGTCTGCTCTATAAGCAGTGGGATAGACAGAATCCATCAGTAGAATGCACTGATGCTTTGTTTGATGAAAATAGTTATTAAGCATCTAAATCAGTAAAACTGAGTTGAGAATTAGATCTTGGAAGCCACAGCTTTAAGAGGAGGTGCTTGCTGCATCTATCTCTGTATTAATGAGCTGTTTGTAATAAACATTTAGGAGAAGTGGCATGGACTAGTTTGTCATAATAAAGAAACTGGATTTTTGAAGCAGTGTGATAATTTTGCCAATAGGTATGTTTGTTTGTCCCTTGGCATCTAGTTAAACAGCAAAGGCTAAGCAAATCTGAAGGTTTTGGGACAGGTGACAAAGGGAAAATAGAAAATGCAAGGGCTGTAGCTATTTATTGTTTTTAGCACTTCCATAACCCAGCCGGATGCATGGTGAGGCTTTTTACATTTTTTCCTGTAGCAAAGAAGGGCATCCTCAAAAGATGGGTTTTAGAAGTGGTAGCCGTGTTAGTCTGTGCAAACATATCAGGCAAAATCCAAACAAACAAAAAAACCAAAATATGTGGCACCTTAAAGACTACTATATTTTATTGTGAGCTTTTGTGGACAAGTCCACTTCATCAGACATATGGGAAAAATTGAAATATTGGATAAAATACCAAATTCACAAGTAGAACTTTTTAAAAACATTCATTGGCTCTAAGAGTCTTGGGTGTATGGTTACATCTCACTTGCAGTAATTTATGGCCTATGTTTGGTGTTGGGTTGTTGCTTCTACTCACTTCCAAGGCACAATTGATCAGCCAATCAGGCAGTGCTAGTGCTCCCTTATGAGAGGGGGACCAACTGTGGCTAAACCAATTTGAGTTTCTGCCTCTGCATAGGCTTACCTTGACCTTTTTTTCTTCAGCTTGCCTCTTTCTTCAATGATTCCTGCTCTTTTCACTATATTTCTGAGCCATGAGCTGTATCTTCTAGATTCTGTTTACCAGACCTTGAGTATGTAAAAGGTGAGAATGCGGGCTAGCTCAAGCTTCTGAGTGGATTCTGAATCATCATTGGATGATCAGCCTTCAGCTGCATGCACCTCTTTTAGGGCCATGAGAGCAATGGAGCTAAATGAAGAATTGAGGAGCAGATTAGGAAGGACACGCCTTGCAATCTGGAGTCACCTCCAAAAGGCTTTCAACACCACCACCATGCCTTTCTTTGTGTTAGGGAAGTTAACAATGACCAATAGCATTCATTCAAGGTTAATTTCTTAGATTTATTCCTGTGTATGTTCTGGTCAGATTCTTGTTATATGCCACTAGTGGTTGAATCCAACTTTGTTTTTTCCAGTTTCTGATGCTGTGCTCTCCTAAACTTTTAATTGAAATAATATCAACTGTGGGTCCTGATGGCAATTTTTAGAGCACTGTACAGTGGTGCCTCGTTTAGCGATTTTAATTGGTGCCAAAAAAAACATCGCTATGGGAAAACATCGCTAAGCGAAACCCGTTTTCCCATAGAGATGCATTGAAAAGCGGATAATCCGTTCCAATGGGAACGGATTGCCATCCTTAAGCAAAAATCGCATAGGAAAAATCGCTAAGCGAAATGCGGTTCCCCAATTGAAATGCATTGAAACCTATTCAATGCATTTCAATGGGGGGGGGGGAAATTACAAAAAATTCAAAAAGAGTCAGAATGAAGCCAAATTAGTTTACAAAGGGTTTATTAAGTGCACTAATGATTTCAAGCATTCTAAACCCTTTTTAAACGTTTTAAAACCTTTAAAAAACAGCGAACACGGGGCTGTCAAAACCATCGTTAAGCGAAACAGGGGGACCTAAACTGTCATCGCTAAGCGAAGCAAGATCCAAAACATCGCTATGCTAAATTCGCCCATAGGAAACATCGCTAAATGGAGCGCAAGATCGCTCTGAAAACGTCATCGCTAAGCGTTTACATCGTTAAACGAGGCAATAGATAAGCGAGGCACCACTGTATTGTTAATTGCATTTTAATTGTATTAGCTTTTGACTGTATTTAACTTGTCGTAATCCACCCAGAGGCCTTTGGGTAGTGTGGGCGGCATATTATTATTTATTAAATAAATAAATAAATAAACTTCATTTTTAGTACTGCAAGTGAGAGTGAGGCTGAAGAGAAATGTGACTCAGATCAACTGTTGGAATATATTGCAGAGCTTGGGTAAGTGGAGTGTATTGAAACCCAGATCTGGTGATGCTGAGGAAGAGACACTTGTCTAATGAAAGGACCCTAGAACTTGCTTTATACAATAGTGCCTTGGTTTACGAACGCCTCGGTTAACGTAATTTTCAGTTTATGAACAGAAATCAGTTGAAAATATAATATAATTTATTGTCATTGTAAGTATATACACAGTATACCCATACAACGAAATTCACATAATAATGCCTCAATTTACGGGGGGGGGGGGGAAGGGGTTTTTTGTTTGTGAAGTAAGTTTCCCCAGGATGCATTGTGCCTGGAGGTTTATAGCGCTGCCCCCATTCCTATGACAATCTGCATTTCAGTTTACGAATTTTTCATTTTACATAAAGTCCCGTAGAATGCATTAATTTTGTAAACCAAGGTACTACTGTACATGTTAATAGTAATAATGCATGCTTACACTTGTTAATCTGATGGAGAGTCAACCAAACAGTGAAAGCTGCAGTTTCTGCAGGCTGTAGTTTTATATGTGCACTACTGATTCCTGTAATTGGTATTCCCAGCTTTAGGTGAGGCTGTAATTTGATTTCTGTCTAGATTGTTGCTGTCAGGATATGCTAGAGTGCTTTTAGAAGCTAACACTACTGGCACAGCTGGGTGATGGAAAAAAACAGAGAATACCAGAGGTCAGCTCTTTCACCTAAAGATGATGCCACCATCTTACATGAAGATAGATAACATGATTATTTTAGGTAGCCTAAAAGATGCTACGTTTGCTCCTACCTCAGGAATATCTGCCTATCTTTGAAAGCCATTTCTTGGGGTTTAAGACTTTGCGTATACAAAGCTTTTACACTCTGAAGAACTAAACAGTGCTCAAAATCAACCAGGAGGACATCAGCAAATAGATCCACACAACTACTTAGATCCGTCTAAGTATTCCAGGTCTGCAACAAAAGCAGAGAACCTAATGGCAATTTTAACTTCATCTGCCTTGAAAATCCAGAGACATAAAATCTGTGTACTTTATTGTTTGAAACACTAGCTTCTTCAGGAGTTTATGACATTTTTTGCTCTGGCTTTTAATTGGTATCAAAACCTACTGCATGCTGGTTACTTGAAGATCTAATGAAATATGTTTCTAGGAGTACCTTGCAAGGATGGTCTTAAGCTCCAGGTTTAAGAAGAAAAGAAAAAAAAACACTAGACTCATTTTATAAGGAAGCTGTTGTGATTTGATCTCCTGTTGTGGCCATACTTGGCTACTTTGGTGCTATTGCTTAGACGAGATACTTGCTAATAGGTACGTCAAAGTAAGGCCTGCCATTCTGAATTGCAGAACAGGCAAAAGTTGGTGAGATGAAATATATTTTGTTTCCCTCTTCAAAACATTTGTAAAATATACTGCCAAACTAGTTTGTGTCTTTCTCTTCCCAACAGCAATGTTGCAGCGCAGTTTGATGATAAATACACACTGGAAGTTGCCAGGTTAGAGGAAATAATAGAAGCCAAGAGCAGGGACATTGAAGCATTGAAAAATGATCTTCAAGTGAAAGAAGCAACATTGTCTACACAAACTGAAGAGCTGAATGAGAAGTGCAAGATGCTTGAACAGCAAAAAGGTGGATCTAAAATTATTGTGCTTGGGCAAAACAGTTGTGTGCTTCTGAGGAGACTGTACTTGACTGTCTTTCACTAGTATACATAAAATTTTGCCTGAAGTGCATTTCCCATCTATGAATAAAAAGTAATATGAGATAATATTAAATCACATATTTTTACTGACATGAATCCAATTCATGTCAGTAGAACCATCCCATTGGTAGGTAGAGGCAAGTTCCGTCTCTCTATGCCATTGGATCCTTGATCTTACACTTTAAATGGCTTTGAGGTTGTCTTGTACCTTGATAACAATTTCTATATGAAATATTTTCTTAAACATGACACACTTGTCATCACAAGGCTGTGTATGGCTCAATGTAATGGCTTGTGTTTGGATTTGGATCGTAGAAAGAGATCTGACATACTGTATATTGTAATCCGCAAAGCAGCCTGGGCTTTGACATATGGTTGAAGAAAATCTATAATCAGTGCTGTTTATAATCAGAATGAATTATCTAGTCTTATTGAGGCTTTCTGTTGATTATCCTGATTCAAAGCCATGACATGAGTTTGAGGCTGACTTCTTAATGTGATCACATTGCCAATAAGAATTGACGAGTTGCTAAGCCTTTGATAATTGTGAACACTTCTGTTTTTCCATTAGTGTATCTTTCATTACATCTGTTTTCCGCATGAGAGGTCATCTACAAATGGAAATTGCCACCTTTTAAAAAATGCAACAAGAGTTTAAAGATTTTATTGTGAGCTACACATGGGGTTTTATGTTCACATCCGTGCCCTACTTTTAGGTATAGTCAGCTTCTGTGATTTTTCTGTGTTTGGTGTCACTTTTTCATTACTAGTGGGCACAAGAGGGTATCCTGTAGATCTTTTTGACCGCTGCCCACTGCCATTCACAAAGGCACACCAAGCAAGGGAAGATTCCAGAAGCTGACTCATTTTTACATCAGTTAACCATTTTTCACCCGAGCATGTTTGGCATCGTTTTTCCTGCTGGCAACGTGGGCATGATACTGTGCAGCAATATTGGCCGATTTCCTGGTGTTTTGAATCATGGATACTGAAGCACAATATCCCATATTTATAAACCAGACTTAAAAAAAAAAATTTAGAATATCTATCCTTATCCCTGTTTAGGTTAGTGTACAATGTCTGTGTTGGAGTCAGATAGCCTGCCACATTTTTCTTTTGAAGGCAAATATCTAGAAAAGTGTAAATAGCAGAGCTGAATATTTGGATTTGTGGTAGATCCTCTGTGTATGTATTGCAGTATTCTCTCATTCTGCACGTGCTTAAATCTATATGTGTCACTGTATTCATCAACAGACTGTGCAATGAGTATATTTTCTTTTAGAGAAGATTGTAAGAGAACATGGAGAAAAGGAACAATCTGCGAATGCTGAGATAAAACAACTGAAGGAACAATTGGATCTAGAAAGACAGGAACACCACAAACTGAAGGAAATCTGCAGGGTAAATAAAACAGTTGATGTGTAGTAAACTAGGTGACTAAAGATGTGTTGCAGCAATTTAGTTTGTACATATATACTAAAATGGAGAGTAGGTGGATGCAGTGTACTTCACATATTGTTCACACTTCTTGAAAGCTTTCCAGCCTATGTTACTCTTGACAGTAACTGGAGCATGACAATTATGATTTCAGTGTAGTCTTGTATATTTAGTCACAAAACCAGTTAGTACACTATATCAGAGTAAAATTACATATAAAAGAACATAGTACAGGCTGATATACAGTGGTGCTCTGCATAGCAATGTTAATCCGTTCCAGGTAAAATGTCGCTATCCAGAAACATCGCTAAATGGAACGTAAAACCCCATAGGAAAGCATTAAACTCTGTTTAATGCGTTCCTATGGGGGGGGGAACTCACCGGTAAGCGAAGATTTCCCCATCCGGCCGCCATTTTCGCCGCCTCAGTAAGTGAGAGAAGGGCGCAAAAACACTGCGGGCGGCCATTTTCTTGATCCGGCGGCCATTTTGGAACCGCCGATTAGCTATTTCCCTAACATCGCAATGCGAAGATCAGTAAGCAAAATGCTTACCGATCATCGCAATGCGGTGTTTAGCCTATTAAAACATCACAATGCGATCGTAAAAACAATCGCAAAATCCGCATTGTTATGCGGATTCGTCGTTAAACGGTGCGCTCGTTAAGCGAGGCACCACTGTACTTTGTTAAGCCTTCATTCAGATGATTATTGTTTAAATGTTCTGTCAAGATCCAATGTACTGCTTCAGATATGATGATTGAATCAGAAAGAGGGTGAGCCACCCCCTATCCTCCTATTAACCCCTAAAATTGTATGTGGAAAGTTCGGAAACCTTGAATAATTTTTGGGATGCTGCAGAGAGAAGCAGGGGAGGAAATTTCATTGTGACTCCTAGTACTGTATACTGCTTTGGCCTTGTCTCTAAAGGATTTAACAGCATGTAAGTTACTGGATGCAGCTTTAAAAAGAGAAGCTCTTTAAATCTTAAGAGAGCACAGTTAGGTCTGCCTCACCCATTCAACAGAATATATTCTTCAGGGGAGAAAGAGCTTGGTAGATTATTGCTGGTAATGGGCACACTGGGTCAACAGACTCTTCCTTCTGCTGATTCCCTTCAGGAGGAATCTGTTGCTATTCATCAAAAGCTGCTTGCATTCCAAGAAGAGGTGGCTAAAGAGAGAGAGGTTTTAGAGAGAGAATTGAAGGAAACCATGAATGAAGTGGATAAACTGCACACCGAGGAAAATGAAACAGAGAAACTTTTGAAGCACTTGGAGGAAGAAACCAAATCCCAAGCTGAGGAGTTAGCCCAGCTGGAAGCAAAACTGAAAAGGTTGGTAGTAAAACACCAATTTATACACAGCTTTAAACTTTTGGTTTTGGCCAAGCCTTTTCCACCAGTAGAAAGGGTTCTCTTGTGCCCCCTCTCCCCAGTTCTCCTCTTGATGTTTGGAGGGTTCTTCTGGAAGACATTGGGAAGGGAGAGCACAAGGGAGGAGAGGAAGCAGGAGTCCTATGCATAAGCAGAGGCCTACTAATGAAACATTGTATGGAATTTCTACTTCTCGTAAATTACAGTGGGGTCTCTACTTAAGAACTTAATCCGTATTGGAAGGTGGTTCTCAAGTGGAAAAGTTCTTATGTAGAATCTGCGTTTCCCATAGGAATGCATTGAAAACCATTTAATCCGTA